TGCTGGAGGGGTCAGCTGAAGGGATGGGCTGGTGGCCGCTGCTCTGAGAATGGCAATTGTTCTTCATTTCCTACCCAAGGGCTCTCTCTCTCTGTTTGGCATCAGTAGCATCACTGTACTTGACTGTACAGAGTTTTCCCTCTAGGTCTGTCACATTTCTGTGCTTTTTTTATGCCTGCCTTCCCTGCAGGGTGAAAAGTACCCTCTCATTCATGTGATAGCAAAATTTGCTTTTGCCTGTGCATCTGAGAGTCTTTTAAGCTGATTCTGAATCATTTTTTTCTCCTGTATATCTCTGAAGCATCAGTTGTTCCATCTGAAAGAGGTGGCAGGTGTCCAGGGTAATAAGAGATTTAACATCTGGATGGTCATGATGAGGAATGTTTTTACTGCTAGGTGTCTTGTTGAGTAGCAACTAGTCTTTGTGAACTGGACTAATTGTCAGCAGTACAGGAGGAAACGAGCTCTGTCTGGCTTTCATCACATAAAATCATCCCACTAATCCCACTTGCTTTAGATAGAATCTTTTTATAGCTGAAGAGCTATTGAAACTGAGTTCAGAAGGGAGTTCTCAGAACCAAACCGTTCCTATGGTTTCTTTCTGTAGGTCCCATAGTAAGATGGTTTGATTTCTACTTCAGCAACTTGATTGCTTGCATCCAGGTTTTTTCTGTCATCTTTATCTGTCTAAGGAAATCTGTTTCACTGTTCATGCAATGACCTGACTTTATTTGTGACTTCTGTTATCCCTGGTGGACTACGATATTTAAAGTTGATTCCTATAAAATAATGCAGTGTGTCTGTTCAGCAGGACAAATACTTGAAGGAATATGAGATCTGGTCTCTTTGGTTTTAAATCAATTTCACAGTCTTGATCCTTATTATTTAAGGTATCCCCAGACCCAGGATTTCTTAAGGGGGGATGGCTAATACTCTGGTGAAAGCTGTTGCCAAGAACAGTAGGCTGTTAGCACAACTTTTCACAGTCAGGATAAAACTCATAATTTAATAGACATGAAAACCACAATTTTAAAGCATTATGCAGGAACAAACAGCAATAGTAACTAGAAGAGTAATTCTACAAGTGCTTCATACTTTGAATAACAGTATTTCCAAGTATGTTATCTGCTAACTAATGAAAAAGTAATAATATCAAATAAGCAAGTTATGATAAGTGAGTATGGAGTAACTTAGTGAATTTTTTATGAATCACTTAAGAACTAGCTAGTAAATAACACTACTCACCTCTGGAGAGGAAATCAAAATTAAGGATGTCAGAAAGCATGGAGGAACTGGCAACGGAAGATTTGAGTGGCAAGAACAATGATTAAACTCAAACAGATCAAACCAAAATACAATTTCATATGTTCCATAGGTTGGATTCCTAATAATTCTCAGTGGTTTAATACTGACATGTTAACAACTCTTGCCCTTTGTCAGCATCTTTAACAACAATGACAGTTAAAGCTGTCAAATGAATCTGAAGTTGAAATAAGTGATACCTGAATTCTCAGTGAAAAGAGCTGGCGTAAACAAGAACTGTACATAGCACCTGGAAAAGGACTTGCAATCACCCCTTTGAAGAAGAAAGCTTACAAAAAAAATAGACAAATAATCTCCCCCTGTAACCTGTGAATGATGATAGTAAAGCTGTAAGAAGCCTGATGAGTTGTCAAACTTAGGTCAACTGAAAGTGCTTGTTCAGCGTTTGTAATTGTAGATTTTCAGTATCTAAACCATATGCACAGTTGTTATTTTCAGCTTACCAGGTGAATGTTCAAATGGAAAGTCCATCAAAATGTGAACAGATACCATAAAACCTTCAAAAGATAAAGTCTTGGAAATATTAGATGTGATAAATGGAGTAACTTACTACAAATGTTACGTCTAGGTTCACCATGTTACAATGACTGAAGTTGGCCAACATAACCTATGGCAAGACTGTTTCTCCTGGATTTTTTGCATGTAAGGGGAAATATGAAATGCAGTTAGGATCTAGGAATAAGCAAAAGTCCTTCACTGTTCAGGTGGATGGGGCTGGTTTAGATTCTAGTCCTGTTAGATGTAATATGCAGCAAAATTTGTATCTATTACGGGATACCTGCACTAACCTAATTTGGGAACACCTGTCTTGTAAAGGAAACTTAAAACCAGCATATTGATTTGCACCACTTCCAATGTAAAGTTTGTGTTGCATGTGTAGCCTCAGTTTGAAAGATAAAATTATAGTTGCTGACCTCTGAAAACTTCAAAGGTTCAACACAGAGAAAACTGAACATTGACACTGTATCTGGTTTTGTCTTTCCAGGCAATTTATTCTGCTCTGTTTTATTCAGGGAATCTTTTTTGCTCTTTTTTTTTTCCTGCCTTCATGGCCTTATGAGCAGGCTGTACATCTTTGAAAGACATACTTAAAAAATAGCAAAATGATTTCGGAACAGTTTTCTGGAATACATGAACATAGATAGGGCCTTGTCATATTTGCAGTGAATCCACTGCATCATTGCAGGAAGCTCTAAAGGATCAGCTACTTGTTTACATTGCAAGTTCGTCTTGCTCTTCTCAAAATAATCTATTATAATCCAGTTTATATAACATAATTTTTATTTAAGAGATGCATAGCAGGACACCACTAAGGATCCATTCTGTTCAGCAGTCAAGAATGGTTTCCGCTCCCCTCAGTCTTTTAAGTCATTGGCCCTGTAGAGACACTTTGCTAATAATGGAGATGGAACACGAACATTTTAATTTGGATTATTTTAGACTATAAATTATTCGGGGAAGGCAATTTCTATTAGTGGATCATTTGTTTCAAGGAGGATCCATCCTATTGTTTCAAAATTGGGGTCATGCAGATCCTAGAACTGTTAGTGCCACTTAAAATTTTCTGTTGATATTACAGTATTCTGCGATTTTTCTTTGAACAATTTAAACTTCATCATACTGCAGCAGTAGAGACTGGAGTTTTCAGTGCCAGATGTATACCTCTGGATAAAGGTTTTGGTTAATTAGAGTTGGGATTTCATTGTTCACAGGGTTTTCATTTGAACTTAATCATCCCAGAAAATGAGGCCTAATTTTTAGGGAAAATAGACCACTTTGCCTTGTTAAGTCTTGCTGTCATTTCCTTAAGGAGATTCAGCACCAGCCTATTTTTACAGCAAACTGCTGCAATTTCATGGGCAGGAAGATGGGTGGGAGGAACCAAACAGGCAAGACTAGAAGCAGACGGTACCAAAGTATTTTAATTATTGAAGTACTCGCCTATGAATCTTGTCATAGAACAAAACCCCTAAATCTTTATATTTAATTCTTCTCCCAACAAATGCCTGTACAACTCCCTGGCAGGTTTGCTCTCTAGTGCTGCTCTGCATAGGGGAGAATTGTTACTGTTAACATTAAGCAGCTAAAACAGCAGATGTCTGTGCTGTGGCTCGGAGGCCTAAATGGTTCCTATTGTGGGTCAATCCCATGTGGAGGAATTCCTGACTTTGTAAATGATGTATTTTTTATTTTTGCTCTGGGCAGCACACTGCACACGCCTTACCCTAAATGGATGTTAACATCTGAAGTCCCAGGTTCAGACAGCAGGAAACGCAGGGAGCCCATCCCACACAGTATCAGTTTTGATCAAGTGTGTTGCCTGTTTGTGTTTTAAGTTTGATTTGGGTGGCTCAAGACTACCTGATTTTCATTTCTTTTCACAAAGACCTCACATTCAAAAAAACGCAAAAAGAAACTGAAATCTGGTATTCATAAAATATTTTCAGTATGTAAAAAGAGTATATATAATTCTTTGAACACTACATTTTAAGATGGTTTTTTTGTGGTACTTGAATTTGGGACTCCAATACCTAAAGGGAGCTACCAGAGAGCTGGAGAGGGACTTTTTAAAAGGGCCTGTAGTGACAGGACAAGGGGGAATGTCTTTAAACAGAGAGTAGGTTTAGATTAGATATTAGGAATAAATTCTTTACTGTGAGAGTGGTGAGGCACTGGAACAGGTTGTCCAGAGAAGCTGTGGATGCCCACATCTCTGGAAGTGTTAAGGTCAGGTTGGATGGGGCTCTGAGCAACCTGGTCTAGTGGAAGATGTCCCTGCCTGTGTCAGAGGGGTTGGAACTGGATGATCCTTTGACCCAACCCAAACCACTCTATAATTCTATGATCACTTGATACAACAAAGACACTAAGTAATTTAAAGGATCTTAACTTTAAATGAAGCCTGTCTTCTTTGTTATCTATAGTGTGGTCTCGAAATTTGGGATGGGGAAGCTCCCCATTCTGGGTGGGGGGAAAGCCTGTTTTTTTCCTTACAAACAGAACAAACTTACAAACGATAATTTTTTGCTTTAAAAAAACGGAAAATCCTAAATCTGCTGTTACTTTTCTCCCAGGATAGATATTTTGGTATACATGGAGTGTTTGAAGCAGACAGCTCTCCTCCTTGGGATTCTCAGTGATAAACTTTTTTCCTGAAGTATCAGGACTTAGGAGGTGTCTTTGCTGATCTTTGGCAGTGAAACTGTTAAATTTTATTTTAGGACCGAATGCCTGTCCATTTGTATGCTTCATCATCTGGACCTATGTCGGTTCTTTTGTTTGGTATTTAGAAACTAATGTGTAGAAGATAACTAATTAGTTTCCTTTTTCCCCCTTCTCCTTGTGGTATTTTTAGGTTGGAAAATCAGGTTTTAACAAGGAATGAAAATAAAATTTTAATATCTATGGTGGTGTAAGATGGTGATAGTAATAGAAATGTCGCATCACTTACATTATTTTAATCAGCCAGGAATGCTTTGGAAAGGTCAGAGTCTAGAAAGTTACTTTTAGCCAGTTTGGGCTCCACGTAGGAGCACAGCCAGCCAAAGAACATCATCCTCACTGTATTTAATGTATCTTCAATGCAGGTATTTTGCAGTAAGCTGGTAATGAATTTTTCAATAGCCCCTATACTGTAATTTTTTTAATAGTCCTTTATTTTTGTTGTTTTCTTGTAGGTTACCATGAAAGCCAAACAACTGAAGGATTCTGTTACATATACACCAGGTGTGTGCTACTAGATCCTCACTAATGCTTATGAAAATCACTGTATTTGGGTGATAGCTGTGTTTTTCAGGGTCGGCTTTGCAGAGGGACTTCTGCAACCTTGCCTTACTTTGAGCAAAGAGAAGAACTGATGGGTATTTTGAGGGAACACTTCTCTTTAGTTACTACATCCTCCTAGACTTTCTTACTTGGTTTATTGTGGATTTTGTTCGCTTGTTCAGGCTGTTCTGTTTGTTTATATCAGTGTGGGAATTTAGTAGTACTTCCCATATATCAGATAAGCTCCCAGTTGGCAAAGTTCATTGCTTCACCACCTTGATTTCTCAATAAGCATTTTCTCTAAGCTCTCAGTCCAGAAGAGCTTTGTCTCCACTCTGCACTATTCCATGTACCTTTAATTTGTGGGCAGTTCCCTGCTTGCTTGGTGGGGTGTTTCACTGTCTCAGAAGTGTAACAGCAGTACTTTTAACAGGTACCATCAGGCTCTCCGAGCTTAAAACGCTGGCCCATTCCAAAAATGTCAAAGTCAACGTGAATTTGCCAGATCACATAATCACCCAGCGAGAAAGGGAGGAGGAAGAGGAGGAGGAGGAGGGGAACTACTGTCATATACGAGAGCAGATGGATGTCCAGACAGATCCAAAGGAGACCATTGGAAGTGAAACCAGACACCGCAAACGCAGAATTGTCAAAGCACCTGAAGTGGCTCTGCTGGCACTGGAAGAGAAGGGCAGAGGGAGACGTCAGAGAGATTTTGATAACACTGACCAAGAGGAGGAGAGTGATGATGAGATCAGAAAAAAAGAGAAAAGCCGTGCCCCAGAAGAACTGTGGACTCAAAACCAACAGAAACTTCTTGAAATGGCCTTGCAGCAGTATCCAAAGGGAACATCGGATCGCTGGGATAAAATAGCAAAATGTGTTCCTGGAAAAACCAAGGTATGCCTAGTTTTGTTTGAACTACATTATAAATTGAGGAGAAACATATTTTCTACCGATTTGTGATTACCTTGAGGGTCCATGCAGAAAGGTGAGGCCTTTACTTAGCCCGTCAGCCCAGTCGTAGGCAACCTAAGCAGTGTTACTGTCATGCTTGTTGCTTTATTTAAAATATTTTCTCATTTATTTCAGTTTGTTTGATCTATTACAGAAAATGCTGAGATAACTCTTGTTTCATTTAAAATACCTACCTCTCCTCTGCCTTTGCAGGACAAATTAGATTTTAAACCAAATTTTGATTCAAAGTTAGTAACCAAATGTTGGTGAGCTGCTTTGCTTACACTTTCACAATACCTTTTTCAACCCATCTCAGTGAGCAAACAAAAGAAATAATCCATCTGCAAGTGTTAAATGCTCAATAATATATCTAATGTTCTTTTTGTAAGTATAATCTTTTAAACATAGCATTGTCATTGATATAGTTGGTCTGTGCTAGATTTCCTAATAGTTGTGATAACTTAGTTTGCTTGCTTCAGTCATTGTAGCTGCAGAAAATCCTTGTTTTATTTGTGCCAAACACAGTGTGAGAGAGCAGGAAACATGGTGGGGAGGGACACACAAGGTGTGTTTCTCTGGCTCTGAAACTGTTCTGCGGTATCTGGTGTCAGTAGGTGCTGTGTTAGTGACCTTGAAGGTTTGTTTTAACCCATTTGCAGTGTGGCTTATATCAGAGAACTGTTTTAAATAGATATTACAATACAACTGTTTAATAATTGTCAAGAAGCGCACAAGGCAAATGTTTCTTGGGTTGTGTGCTCTTCAAACAGATAAATTATCCATTAAGAAACATAAACTGCCAAGTTCATTTTTCTAACCTGCTCTTCACTAGATGTAGATCCTCCTTCTGAAATTCAGTGTGCAACTTTAAAACAAAACCCAACCAACAACAACCAAAAAAAACCAAAACAAAACACCAAAACCAGACAAAAAACCCCCAATACTAAAATGTCACCCTTTGAATAACACTTTTGTGTTTTCTTTCAGGAGGAGTGTATAGCAAGATACAAGTTGCTCGTTGAACTGGTACAAAAGAAAAGAATGGCTAAAAGCTGACTGTGGTGAGCAGAAGAGATGTAGCTCATCTTTGTCAAAGTTTTAAATGTCATATGCAGGAAACTGCATTTTTGTACCTCAGTATTTCTATACGTCATGTGCCTTAGTAAAAGAAAATATTAATAAATCTTATACCATCTTACCTGTTTTGTGTGTTGAAGAATGAAGGTGTGTTTGTATTGAAGAGCTGCTTATGCAGATGTGTGATAACAATGTCTTAAAAATGAGTGGACCTTTAGAAAAAACCCCTCTGACAATCACATACTGAAACTGGTAGGTTTACAGCATATAAATAATTTATGCTTGTTTTGAAAGAGAGGATTGACATGAAACTGTTAAGCAAGCATGAGAGTAATGAAACTGCACTCAAAATATATTTTTCTTTCTTGCAGCTCTAAAGCCATGACCATATGCTTATAAATATCTTATTCTTATACATATCTGGTCATATTTTGAAGTAAGTAGTATTTCTAATCTTAACTTCCATGTACATTTATACATACCTGCAATATAGTACCTCTTTTGCCAGCCCTGCAGTGAGACATAGTGATATTTGATTGCATTGTTAACGGGGCAAAGTTGAAATGGGTAAAAACACTAAAGGTTTAAATTTTTAAATTAGAAACTAAGAGATATAAGACACTTCAGGATCACTTTTTAAGTACAGAATGGCAAATATTATTGGGCTAAGAGTTCTCATATTTGGGGAGTGGTTGTATACCTGGATTCAATATAGTTTGATTTTATATTTGAGGAATAGGTAGTAACGGTTATTATTCCATTCTTGTTATGTTGTTTTGTATAACTTTTCCAAAATTATGAAAAGCTTAAAATGCTGGAATAATAGCTTAATGGGCTCTAAATAACAGCAATAAATCAGAGCAGTGATCACAGTGTATTGCAAGAAACATGAAGGACTTCCATTTTTTAAAGCAGTATTTACCACTCAAATTCTGATTTAATACCAGGATTCTAAAAAGTTTTTGAGCTTTAATTCAAAATCAAAATGAAAACTCAGAGGATCATGTATTTGAACTCAAAATCTAAACTTGGTGTCTGAAAGTCTCTGTTAACTTTCTGCCATTTCCCCTGCTGATTTCCCCAGTAACTGTTTGCCAACTGTGCTGCTTCTGACAGATCAGCATTTCACAACATTTCATCCCATTCCCATAAAACTTTAAGGGTGAAGTATTTAGAGAATATAACAATGTTCCATATGCATTCCTTTACCAAGTGGAACTTTTTATTAATCATATGTAAAAAAATAACCTTAGTTGGTAGAAATGATATTATGGAAACTTAGCTAGGCACAAAGTAATGCATCTAAATTTTATTTCACAGAGAACATCACAGGTTAACTGCATTGGAAATTAAAACATAGTTAGAAGCTGAACTTTGAGCTGGGGTGCTAATTGGTCAAACAGTAATTACCTATGAAGGAAGAATCATAGTGAGATAAGTGAGGTATTTTCAAGAGGTATCAGGAAATCTTAAATCGAAAAAGCTATTAGTCATACAGAACACTCAAAGAGAGATGATTGTAGCTATAAAAAAAGGTCATTGAAGTGGCTACAAAGAAAAGTTACTAAAATGGCAAGGGGAATTGATGAAAATTAATGGGTGGAGCTGGAGTAGAAGAACACAAACAAATGGAGATATATTGTTCATGAAAATACAGACTGGTAATGGGAACATTTCTGCTTTTTCAAAAAAAGAAGCAAGGAAGTAACAGGAGAGTGTGGCCTGTGAGAAAAGAGTCATCTTTCCACTCTGGATTTACAAGACTTTGCCTGAAATGGTGTGCCCGGTTCAGAATATCACACTTCAAGGAAGATGTAGAGCATCCATAAGAGAGCAGAGGGAATGATCCAGTGTCTACAATGCCTGACTTGGTGGGAAGGACCAAAGGAATTCTTGCTATTTGCTCTACGCTAGAGAGAGAGAATCTTCCAAGTATGTAAAAGGGAACTTTGCACTTGTGTGATCTCTGTGTTTCCCTGTTACATGTCTGTGGAGGCTCTGGAGAATAATAATGGGCTCCATTTGGAGTGAGAAGTAACTTAGTTAGGTGTTGGGGCAAAAGAAATCCAGTGGCAAATGCAATAAGGACTTGGGAGGACTTTGATATCTTTATTGCTGGAAATCCAAAGACTTACCTGAGTACCTGCTCCAGACCTGCCCATATCCCTGCTGTGCATGGGGCAGTGGTTACACACTGCCTGCCCAACACCACCAGCTTCTCTCCACCCCACACTTTCTGCATGGGGGTCTAAGGAAAAAGGACAAGAACTGCCGACTGCTAAGAATTTTTTTGGGTTTAAGAACATTCGCATTGAGAAACTTAAAGCAGTACTCCTGACATATCCAGTTTACTTGAAGGAAGATTTTTAAGGATGGGCAAAGACTGTACATGCCCTTCTGTCACACTTGCCAGTTTGAGCACCTGCAGTGCTGGATGTCTCCTTCTGCCTGGACAGAAGGGAGTTGATGGATTGCATCCTTATTGCTTGAAGAAACAACCTGCCTGAAAGTAGAGGGAAGTTGGCTGAGTCAGAGAAACGCATTGGCCTTTTCTGCAGTAGCACTGCTCCGGGAATTGGTGACAGGAGCAACTCAGGATCAAGAACCGGGAAGGTTTTGCACAGTGCTGGTGGGTCATTTGGAACTGAAGATCTTGGGATGGGGAATGTGAGTCAGTGTCCTGCATCAGTGGATCTGATCTCTGCCAGCAGATGCCCAGAGATATCCCTCTGGGAGGCAGAACAAGGAATGAGGTACTGGCAGCTTCATCCAGGGCCCATCCAGTCTTATTGTTATGTCCAGTTCCTCAAGGGCCAAAGGAGCTGGCCCAGCCTTAGCTTCAGCTTTGGTGTTTGGTGGGGGGAGGAAGGTGGCATGGCTGAGACTCCAAGATTTCAGGGCCTCTCAAGAGCCTCTCCTGAGTGTGCCACATGTTTTCTGGATGATGAAACACCTGGCCCTCATAGCAGCGGCTGTAGTCTGCGGTGACTGAGGTCAGACATGATGCTCACTAGAGAAGCGGAAAACTGTAGCCAGGACTTGTTTCTATCCATGGAAACCAAGGTGACTCAAGGCTTGGGAGTTAAGCAACTTCTTCCGACTTTTGTCCTAGCACAAAATGCAGATTTCCTTTAAGTAATATTAATATTTGCCTTCAAACAAAATATGTTTTCTTTCCTGGGCAGTTGTGAGCTGTAGTTTGATGGTGCTTTTTACACTGAAACTTTGTGTTCAGTCTCAGAGACAGTCTGTGCTGTAGCTTCTCTTCTCTGGCTTGCTCCTAAATGAGTGAGATCTGAGCCTACTTTTGAATGTCTTTGCATGTCCCCCTTGATGGGACAGGCAGAATGCTGTGGAAAGGGGTATTTGGTGCACATGACCCAGGGAGGGCAATATTCCTGTGCTGAGGATACAGTCCAATGCCAGGCTAAAGCATCAGAATTTTGTAAAATTACAGCCCATCAACCATACACGAATGAATGAGTAGAACATGAGTGAGATGCTGTGAAGGTTAATAGTGCTCTCATTTAGGCTGTTAAGCTCTAGAGGAAACACCAACAGATGCTGTTCTGCAGTGTCTTGCAAACCTAAATGTTTGGACTACATTACATTCAACTTTACAGCTCTAAGTATATGAACTAAGTTAAAGAAAAAAAGATGTTTCAGAAAAATTTTGCAATGTGACCTCTCTGTGAGATGATAGGGTCTAAAAACAACAGGAACACTGGGTGACTTGAGCTCTCCTTTAGGCAGAACCAACAGCAAGATTTTAGTGCAGTATATGAAAAACAGGCACCAGAAAGTCGGTCAGTTAATGTCTAAAGTGCTGTTGCTGAAAGAGTAGCTCCTTGCTAAAACAGCTTGAATGGATAAAGTTGATAAAACCAGGATTTAATATGTCAAAGGCTGTCCAGAATTAGTTGGCTTCTCTAAGCCGTAAGGGATATTATCATTGCTGTCAGTAAAGTGGGATTTTGGTGAAAAATCTTCTGAACTGCAGGGCTTTTAGTCTGTGCTGCTTATGAGATTGAGCCTAGAGCAGCTCCCAACACATGTGAGGGGAGCTCAGTAACCAGCAACTTGGCTACCAGGGACCTGTGGAGTGGCTTGGGCTGCTCTGGCATCCAAGGCATCCCACAGGGACAGCAGTATCGGCTTTACTGAACTGGTGCCAAATCAGCCACAGACCATCATCTTTGATGTCAGGATCTGCAAAATCATTGAAACAAGGTTGGTTTTGACTACATCTGGCCCTCATGTGAACTTGGCTTTGATGTGCTCTTTCTTTAAAGGGCTGCTGAATTGGATTTTTGTTTGGATGTCAGAACTGTCCTTTTCATTTCCTTGCTGTTGCCTGTTGGTCCACCAGGACCGTGGTACTGTGAAACGGTCACTGCTATCCTGGGCTGCTGGCACCAATCTCTTCTGACAATTTCACCAGTATTTCTAACTTTGTCTCTTCGTACTTCTCTACATCTCGGCAGAAGACAGGTACCAGAGTTTAGGCACTCCCTCTCCAGTACAAGAAACACACATGGAAAGGCAGGACTTACCACTTTTACTGGTTCCTGTGGTACTGCTCCAATAGGAGCAGGGCAGTTTACTGATACTTGTCTAACATAAAAACGTTTTGGCTTCGGCTTAGATCCAAGAATAGAGCAGCAGTCCCTGGATCCAGTAGAAGGGACACTCAGGATTCCCTGGAGGCCTTGTGCTGGCAGCAGGATCATAATGGGCTTTTCTTCCCCTTCCTCTCCATGTCTGGCAGTGCCAAGTATAACTCCAGGGCCCGGCCTACACGTGCTCTATGGTCTCCCTGCTCAGCACTGACCAACAGTCAGTGCTCAACAGAGCCAGAATACTGACAGAATACTAGACCCAGCTCTAGAGCTCATCTACACCGTGTACAGGTTAATCAGTAGAAATGGTTAAGTCTTCCAAACCTCTTCACCTCAGAGCATAAACCAGTCACCAAGCACTTCCAGAACATAGGGAATTTTTTCTAGCCCTGATGGCCAAGGCACCATTCAGAAGGTTGGGGTGGGGATGGGAGTGGTACGTTCCTCCTTCACCATGCCAATGTTTCACATTCCCCTCCTGCTACTGCTGAGCTTGCCCATC